CCCCCCCCCCCCACTAAGAGTTCTTCAGCTTGTTCTCAGCAAGTCTCCTTAAAATGCTTACTGAACATTTTGACCTCCCATACGTGACATTTTATTTTAAGGTAAGCCCCTTGCCCAGTGTGGGGCTTGAACTCATGACCTTGAGATCCAGACCTGAGCTGAGATCGGGAGTCAGATGCTTAATGGGCTGAGCCACCCAGGTGCCCCAAGCATATGTGACATTTTATCAGTAGCCTTTCAAAGATGGCAGTTCTAAGATCTCAGAGGGAAGGTGATGGCAGGACTCAGGCACTGAGCCAGGAAGTTAGGGAGCCTCCCTGATACCCTAAAAGTCTTTCCTCTCCCATCACTCAAGACCCCCCCGCTTGGTCTCAGAAAGCTGGCTGTGCGCCCCAGAAAGATTGTTTCCTTACCTGACTCCAAGGGCTGGGTCTCTGTGCTGCTGGTGTTGGGCTGGCCGGATGGGGTTGGAGTCGGGTGACCTGAAATTAACCAGCAGTGGCCATGGTGGGTGAGTGAGCACAGAGGTAGAGGGCACAGGGGTGACTTCAAGGACAGGGGACACTTTCTGTGGCTACGTGGGGACCTTGACACGACATGGCCCTGGGCCTTGGGCATAGTTGCCTCCATTCAGGGTAGGGAAATTCTCAAGCTTTCTTCTGGGGCATTTTCCACTTCCCCTTTGAATTGTGCAAACGTGCTCAGACATCAGAGTAGAGCAGGGAGGAGTGACTGGAGGCTTTGGGGACACACTTCCTGGCTGAGTGACCGTGGATGGGCTACTACCCTCTCTGGGTCAGAGTCCCAGTTTGTTGGCAATAGCACTTAGGCAGGTACTGTGAGGCTAAAAGGAGTCAATACCTATAAAATACTAGACCTACAGAAGAAGCTCAAACGGGAGTTATTGTCAGGAAGAACATTGTTGTTTGGAAAACCTGTTTGAGAAACTCACACCAGGCTTCTGGGTAATCGTTGCATCTGGGGGCGGGACCATCAGACTGCAGAGCTTTCAGATGCGGAGAAACATTTGCCAAAGGCTGAAGTTATGCAAGGTCCTCGCAGATAGTATTCCATTTTCCTCCAAACAGGCAGTGAGGTAGATATTAGCATTTGCTTTTTACAAATTAGGAAAGGGAGGCCCAAAGAATAGAAACCAATCGCCTGGCCCAGATGGTACCCCTTTGTCCTTCCAGAGCCCTGTCCTCTTGGCCCCCTGGGGGCTGACCTGTTTGGGCTACATCAGCATCTCCCTGGGCCCTTTAACTTTTGCTTGGCTCAGCCAATGGGGAGCCCCAGCAGAAGTAGGAGGGAGGGAGGAGCGTGGAGTGGTAGGTGCTTATTCCCCTGGCTCCTCCTGTCCTTGACTCTCTCCTTCCAGGTCTCGCTGACCACTCCCTGGTCTTGTCTCCTTGGGTCCAGAGTGGTAACAGCTCAGCCACTTCTGGTTCTTGCTTACCTTATCCTTTGTAAATAGTCTTTTTGTTTTTCTGTGTGTTTTTAAATGTTTATTTATTTTTGAGAGAGAGAGAGAGAAAGAGAGAACACACAAGCAGGGGAGGGGCAGAGAGGGAAGGAGACAGAATCCCAGGCAGGCTCCACATGGTCAGTGCAGAGCCCGACGCGGGACTCGAACGCACAAACTGAGATCGTGACCTGAGCTGAAGATGCTTAACCAACTGATCCACCCAGGTGCCCCCGTAAATAATCTTTTTGTAAATAAGCCCCTTCAAAGTCTCCTATTTTGAAAGCGCCTCCTGTTTCCTGTTGGGACCCCGACTGATATTGGCCCGAGGCACCCCCCGCCCCAGCTGAGCAAAAAGCAGAGTTTGGATTTGAACAGTCTCCGAGGAATGGGCTCCGTGCTGGGCAGGGATATTCCAGTTTGCAGATGCAGAAAGGGAGGGCTGTGGCCAGGGCCGCTGTGCTCCCAAAGGAGCGCCCCTGCATTCAGGGTCTCTCCCCTGCATTCAGAAGGGCGTGTGCTCGCTGATGGGCCGATGTGGGGAAGAGGCAGCGAGCCTCCTTCGTCCCTTCCTTCTCTTTCTTCTCTTTTGACCCAGTATTGGAGGCCCTGATGCAACCACAAGATGGAGGGAAATGCGGACCCAACTGGAATTTTGTGTAAGAAGTAAACCTTTTTTCCGGTTCACATCCTGGTGCCCCCTCCGAAAAAACATACGCAAACCCTCCAAAAAAACCCAAAAAACCCAGAAGTGAACCTCTGCTGGGGTAAGCCATGAAGATTTCACCCTATGTTTGTTACCCCGGCCCAGCCTGGCCTGGCCTGACTGATCTAGGGGCTGCAGACTCAGGCACGGCTGCTACATATTCTGAGAAGCTTCTCCGGACTCGTACCCAGTCGTGCGCCCAGGCGCACCCAACGCTCAGGCCTGCAGACACAGCTCTCCTGTAGGCACCCATGTGGGCCACTCCATCACTCAGACAGAAAGTAATCAGGCCTAGAATTGCCTGTCCTTGCCAGCTCCCTGCTTGGCTGCGCAGCCTGACCCCCGGTGGGGGGAGAGGACTCAGAATTCAGAGCACAAACTCCGTGGCTAATGGAATATTCAGAACCAGGATCCAGACGCCCCGAGGTTAGGACTGCAGAATCCCGGTTCCCACAGCAATGGTCCCAGTGCCACAGAGTAACAGTTTTCAATACGTGTGCCAGGGCCCGGGGTGGGGAATGGGGTCTTGGCTGTGGCGTGTGTGTGCTTGTGATTGTGGTGGGTGTGTGAGTGTGTGGTTGTGACCATTTGTGTGCAAGCGTCTCTGTGTGTGTGTGTGTGTGTGTGTGTGTGTGTGTGTGT